CACTCTTTCAAAGTAATAGGAAAAACATGTTTATGTAGCTGTTTATTTATGTAAAAAAAAAAACCAACACAGGAAGAACAAGCCAGTAACTAGATGAAATGAAATTGTTTATTGACAGGAGTGAAAAAAATTGCAAAAAGAATGACTAATCTGAGTATACTTTTGGAAAGTCTTGCCTTTGTTAAATATTAAATATGTTTAATGTTCTAGATATGTAGAAAGGAAGTCAATAAGCACGGAGGAAAAGAAATGCTAATACTGAACAGAAACAGAAACAATGGATCAAATTATCTTTTAAGTGATTAATACATACAACCACTCTGAAGGAAATTTTTGAACACAATATTTTGACTATATACCCTCAATATAAGAAAAAGAAAAATTGAAAGAAATCTTGAACTCTATTTAATAGGTTTGTTTTTTGTAATGGCAGGTACACAGTTCTAATCTATTTTGTGTGTATTTCAGTATTAAGCAATGAGTGTATACATTGAACTTGTTGGAACTAGGTTCTCACTGTGGGAAAAAGGAAGATGCAATACAAAATAGGAAAAGAGGAGTAGAACCTGTGGTGTCAAGCTAGAAGTAGAAGAAACATGACTATATGATTAAAATTTTATAAAAATTACATATGGCAATTTCACATTAAAATTGCTTGCTTTTTCCTAGCTCTGAGTGCTGAAAAGACCTAGAAATAGTGACACCCCAATCGCAATGAGCATAACTATTGCCAAGACCGTGGTTTCTAATTACCATTTCCCACTAAAAAGCATCAGGATTCCTTCAAGAAATGGCTGCTTCTAGGGAAGGGGCAGGGAAAATACAACATAGACTGAAACATCAGAAAATAAAGAAATCCTCAAAAAAAGATGATGGGGACATGTCAAAAGGTCAGAGGAGCCAGTCTGAAGAGGCTCCCATGGACCAAATCTGGAACAATTTGAGCATCAATATGAATTACAGTACATATATATGTGTGTATACATATACATGTGTGTATGTGTACATATATAGTTTATATACCCCATTTATAAGCCACACACACAAACTCTCTCACACATAAAATAAAAATTAATGAGTCTAATAATAAATAAGTAGGTGAGGGAGGTGGAAAAGCTCATTTTTAAAGTAGAATGCCAACTAATAAATGTAACAGGAATAACAGAGTTAGACAATGACTATTTTCAGTCATTACAGTAATAATTGATTAAATCAAAAATCATAAATGGACATTAAAATTCATGGAAAGTTCAAAGACAAACGGAATATTTATGCAGTCTCCTCACAGATTATTTATACAGTAACTTTGCAGAAACGCAAAGGACACCACCACGACTAAGTAATTAAAGTTATCACCACTAAAAACGGGACAAACTGACATCATGTACCTACAGGCTGATCCACTGAGAACACCACATTACTTATGTAGTATTCCTGCCCCAAAAGCAAAGCCTGAATCTAATAACGTGGGAACATCAAGCAAACCCAGACTAAAGGATGATTTACAAAATAACCAGATTGTACTCTTCAAGTCAATGTCAACAAATACAAAGAATGTTCAAGAAGCTGTCCCAGATCAAAAAAGAATAAAGAGATAAAGGAGTTAATTGTAATGAATAATCCTGGACTAAATCCTAAATCAAGGAGGAAAGAAAAGAACTGCCATGAAAGATATTATTGAAATAATCAGCAAAATTTATGGCTTGTATATTAAAGTACTGATTCATTATGAGATGTTCTGACATTAACTGTTTCCTATAATTACGGAACACAATGTCTTTGTTCTTAGGAAATATATGCTGAAGTGTTCAGGGGTAAAAGGGCACAATGTCTACAATTAGCATTCAAATGGTTCAGGGAAAAAATATTTTTGAGAAATTATAAAGCAAATATGGCAAAATGTTAATAACTGGTGAATCTGAGTGAACAGTGTATAGACTTTAATACTTTTCTTGCAACTCTAAGCTTGAATTTTTTTCAAAATAAAACATTAAAAAATGAAAACAATAAATGAAGGAGGCACAACAGGGGCTTCTGGTAGTAATGGTAATATTCTGCTTATTGATCTATATGAAAACTTTTAAAGATTAAAAAAACATTCTGACATATTAAATATTAACAATTTGCTGGGCAGTACAGAAAGTCAGAAATCCAACATTCCTACTGATAAAGTACAAAGAACCATTAAAAAAATTTTTTTCTTTGCAAACATACCAGTAGCCATTTATATATTAGTATGGCAATCTAAGATTTTAAACAATAGGAATACAGTGATTAGGTCAGTAGTACACTTCATTACTGCTAAATATTTGCTGTACAGTCTCTATTATGACTTACATGACATTACTGTCTTCTCCCTAAAGTCAATAAAATTTTACTTTTAAAAACACCTAATTTCCATAAATACAAAGAATAAAATGGAAATACTTTATAAAGAATAAAACACAGATATTTATTTAGGGAAATACTTCACAGTGGCTGAGAAGTATCCTTTTCATCAAGCGAAGATGAGTCCAGAAAACAAACTTTTCTAATGAGCAACGAGTACTGTTCTCTGCATCCAAAAGTGACAGTATTAACATGCTGCATCTGTTTCTACAAACTGTGGTGGTAATTATCCATTCTTTTCAGCATAAGTGATGAATCTGCTAATTTCTGTCATTTTTTTTTTACCTCCTTCTTACTATGCCTTATCCACCAGTGTCCTCCCATCACTCCTTATCCATCTCTCCTTCATCTCTCCTTAGATCCATGATCCATCATTATAATCACTCTCTCAAGTACACTCTCACCTTCCTTGCCCCTCTCTCCCTTGGGCATATTTGCCTGGTATAACTTCAACCCCTGCTAAATCCAACTCTAGCTACTCTTCATGAACACATGAATACCTGACAAGGGAAAGACAAATACACCCAAACAGGCTGACTTGTTTCATTTTCAACCTATGGCCACTAACCTCAAGAAAAGTTGGAAATGTACAGTCTCTCCCCATGTCATAAATTTTTCACTCTGCTCATTCCCATCAGCATATAAAAATGCTGTGATTTCTCCCACCTGGAAAAGAAAAGCCACCTCTTCACCCCACACTTCCCTCCAGATAACTGCCTAGCAATCCTGCTCCTTTCCCCCAGGTTTATTCACACACCTCTAAATAACTATTTCAGACCTTCTCCTCTCCTCTCAAACATTCAACACCCTCTTCCACTACTCTCACTTTCACCAGATAAGTCTGCATTCTATGCTGCTGGGAAAAACTGAAGCAATCACAAAGAGAACTTTCAGTTGTTTCCATCACCATTAACCACCCACCTACCTTCACCTGCCCTTCCTCCTATTACAATGAGTGAATTGTCCATGCTTCTCTTTAAGGCTAAATCCTCCACTTGCATATTACATCCCATCCACTCTGACCTTCTTAAGGACACTGCTCTAACAACTGTCCCTTCTCAATTCTTGCATCATCGATTTTCCCCTCTAGTAACTCATTCTCATAAATATAAAAACATGCTGTAATTTCTTTCATTTTGGCAAAAAACCCTCCACCTGACCCCACATTTCCCTCCAGATACTGCCCCATTTCTCTGCCCCCTCAAAAGAGAGAAAAGAAAAAACACTCAAAAAATTGTTCATTCTAATTCCTTTCCTCCTATTCTCTATTGAATCCATTCCACAAAGTCTTTTTTTAAATCTTCACCTTATACCACTGAAAACGTCCTGGTCAGAATCACCACAACCTTTGCATTTAAAATCCAAGTCATTCTCAGTCCTCTTCTTCTTGGCCAATCAATATTATTTGATAGTTAAAACACTCTTCCTATTTTGAAACACACCATTTTCAAGATATACACTGGGTTTTCCTCCTATTTCATTAGTCATTCTTCTCTACTTGTCTCCTCTTACTGTTCCATCCTTATTTTTCTGACCTGCATGGAAGCGCCTCAAGGCTCTGTCTTCTTACTACTTCTCTATTAATACTTACCTCATTTACAACCTAATTCAATTTCACAGATTCATTTAAGTACTATTTAAACACTGATCACTCCCAGATTTGTACCTCCAGTCCATACCTTTCCCCTTACTCCAGATCTATTTATCCACTTCCCATGCAAATATTCCACTTGTATAACTAGTAGGCATCTCAATTTTATCAGGTTTGAAACTGAACTTTCGGTCTCCTCCATCCAAAAATCATTCCTCCTGTAAGTCTTTTCCGCCTCAGATATAAAAGATCTTTTGTGTCTTTTGAAATGTGTCCAGTATCTGACTGCGTCTCACCATCTGCACCACTACCACCGTGGTCTAAGTTACCATTATTTCTTGTCTAGACAACTGTTATAGCCTCCTAACTGGCCTCCCCATTACTGCCCTTAATTCCTCTGTAGTCTGAGCTTAATAAAGCAGTTAAATTGAGACTTTAAAAACTTAAATCAGATTATTTCATTCCTCTGCTCAAAATCTGATGGTGACTCCCCATATATTTCACTTACAGGGAAAGCCAAAACCCTTATAATGGCACAATGTCCTACAAAATCTGGCCCAAATTTTTTTTTTTTTTTTTGCGGTATGCGGGCCTCTCACTGTTGTGGCCTCTCCCGTTGCGGAGCACAGGCTCCGGACACGCAGGCTCCGCGGCATGTGGGATCTTCCCAGACCGGGGCACGAACCCGTGTCCCCTGCATCGGCAGGCGGACTCTCAACCACTGCGCCACCAGGGAAGCCCTGGCCCAAATTTTTTTAAAGAAAGGGGAGGGGGTGGAAGTGGGCAAACCACAGAAAAACTGCTATTGATTTTTAAAAGTTCAATTAGTTTAATTATGATAATAACAAACATCCATAGAATATTTATTATGTATGTACCACTGTGCTAAACACCTTACATAAATTAATCCATTTAATATACATAACTATCCAGTGAGGGTATTATGTAGTATTATTACTGTATTTTATAGATTAAGAAATGAAAGAAGAAGAAGACTGGGTGATGTGCCCAATACACACTAGCTAGTAATACACAGCTAGTGTAATTCATAGCTAGTAAGTAACAAAGCCAGAATTTGAGCCAGAAATCTGGCTCTAGAGTCCAAGCTCTTAATATCATTCTAGAATGTAGAACACCATAAACTCAATGAATGAAGGTTGGCCTCTTTTCAAATATGAAAAAAAAAAAGAATCAAATTAAAAGAATCAATATTCCTCAGCTATCATACCTTCTTAGACACACACTATTATGAGATTGCATTTGGTTTAAAAAACCTTATTTGGAAAAGTCCATGACTAGTAATTGTTTTTCTGTTTTTTGTTTTAGTCATTTTTCCCCTTATGTTTTTTTTTTAACATCTTTATTGGAGTATAATTGCTTTGCAGTGTTGTATTACAGTTTCTGCTGTATAACAAAGTGAATCAGCTATATGTATACATATATCCCCATATCCCCTCCCTGTTACGTCTCCCTTCCATCCTCCCTATCCCATCCCTCTAGGTGGTCACAAAGCACCAAGCTGATCTCCCTGTGCTATGCAGCTGCTTTCCACTCGCTATCTATTTTACATTTGGTAGTGTATATGTGCATGACTAGAAATTGTTAAGAAGCGACAGTCAAAATCTGAGATGGCTTTATGATACTGAATTTTGGCTGAAAGTTTCAAAAATCTTTATTTTAGGGCTAAATTACAAGTTTTCTTTCTGCATTCATATAGTATGAAATATCAGAAGGACAAAATCAGGAAACTACATAAAATAAATTTAAGTAAGTAACACAAAAGGTAAATGATCTGGCTGAGAACTCGTAATAGTTGAGTTACTGACTTGGTTCAGGCTCAGAGAAATAACTGGTTTAAGTCATCTTTAACCCAAGATTAAACTGCTGACATAAAACTTCCCTAGTCTTGGCTTATCCTTTACCATTTTCCTGGTAATGGGTTAATCACTTGTTATGTTTAAGTTAAAAGGACGTTTGCCAACATCTTTGCCTCTTACAGTTGGTACCCTGTAGAACTCAAAGTTAGGTATTATCACAACAAACCAAAGAAAGAAAAGAAAATGGTTTTAATTTGAAAAATTTCTCAGGCTGAAATTTCTACAACCCCTTTTACTAAAATCAGTGAAACATCTTTAGGCCAGTATATCCAGATTTAGGAAGTTCAATAATTCTTTATCTAAGAATAATAAGCACAGAAAACAGCGTGACCTTTGCTGTCACCACCTGTCCTGAATGTGAGACTGTTGTTTCTTTATATATACATGTAACTATATTCCACTGTTCATTTCTTGCTTACCTAGATTTTTTTAGATGAAATAGCACCCAGAAGAGTTTTTCAAGAAGAATTCATTTTGTACCAAAACCAAGTAGAATGTTCCAGTTTTTTGGTATATCATTCAGAGTTTTTATACTTCATATGGCACTAAAGGTGAAGATACCGATGCCTTCAATAAACTGAATCATCAATATCTCACTAACCTGCTTGGTGGGAGTCCAGTCTTGAACAAAGAAGGAGGAGAAGTAAACTCAGCTTTTGTAGATGGAAGCGCTGTTTCCTTCTCTGAATTTCCAGTTCTTCCCTGCTGTACCTTAAAAAAAAGGGTTATTAGCTTGTTTAATTCAATGGAACACTCAAACCTAATACAGTAAAGATGTTAAAATAAGTTCATAACATTTGAAATTAAATAAGAAGAGTGCTTCGTTGCCCAGTATATAATAAAATTAAACTTATTTTAGAACAGCACTAGGTGAAAGGCACCAAAGATGGATTATGGGACCAAAATGTTCCCAACTAGTAAAAAGTTCAAATTAATGTCACTTAAAAGTCCAATAAACTATACCTCTTAAGGACTTTCATAAATTCCCTCAGATCACTATAAATAAGTCCAAGATATTCAGTTAAGACTCCATGTTTCAGAGTTCAAGAAAGGCCTTGAAGAATTCAGTATACCCAGAAGCCTGATGTCAGTCATCTGTCTCCTTAATCCCTCTTCTCACTCTTTACGTTCACTTTCAAACCAGTCATCTACTTACTTCATAATCTCTCCCATATCTGCCCATCCTCTGTGCTCCTGTCAGATCCTCTGAAGTATGGTCCAGTCATATTCCTTTAGACTGGTGAAAATCTTCTTTATGCTCTTTTGCTTTTATACTCACCTTCCTATCTTAAAAATCGTCATTAATTTATTAAATTTAAATAAAGTTCAAGTTGCCCTATACTTAAATAACACCACTGTATCTTAGGCCCTATTTAAATTCTACTGCCCCTGTTCAGTCTAAATTCAGCATCACTCTCCTTCCCTATGAGGCAAAGGCCAAGAGAATTCACACACCTTGACTCTGATATATTCAAACCACTGATTCAATTCCAGAAACCATCTACCTCTCAAATAAACATTATGTGGAACTCATTTTCAAATAAGATATTAATGTTAATACTAATTATATGAGGGATGATAAGGATCAGCACTAAGACAATGAGGAGAGAAAGAAAGAAACAGATTTGTTAGACATCTGACAGGTAAAACTGACTGAATGTGGTGACAGGGGAAATAAACATGATTTATTCACCAAACATTTATTGACTATCTATTATGTACTGGAAACTGAGACCACAGAGAGAAATACAACAAAATTCCAGACTGTGAGAAAAGACAGGCACAAACCACCAAAGCAATACAACAACTGTTATGAAAAAAATATCCCTGGGATAAAAGATACTATGAGAACACAGAAGAAGAAACGCACTATTCTTCCTGGGGATGTCAGGAATACTCAGAGTTGACACTATGGTCTCAACTGTTCCCCTGCGCTCCAATAATTTACACCCAGCTTCTCACATGTCTTCTAAGCATCTCAAACTTACATGGCCAAAATAAAGCTACTGATTTCCCGCTATCCCCCAATCCGATCCTCTCCAAGTCTTCTTCCTATGAGTAAATGGCATCAAGTTGCTCAAGAAAATAAAAACAAAAACAAACACAAACCTAGCAATGATCCAATACATATGAACAACCAATGTCAACTTTACCTTGACAATATATAGCAAATTCAACCACTTATCATTCTGTCCACTCCTAAAACTCAGGTCAAACCCACCACCACATCTCATTTCTTCTATTACACTGTCTGCTTTGATCTTACCTCTCTAAAATCCATCCTCTGTACACAGCCAAAGCAATCTTATTAAAAATATAAATCAGCTCATGTCTCTCCCCTGCTCAAAATTCTCCAATAGGGGCTTCCCTGGTGGCGCAGTGGTTGAGAGTCCGCCTGCCGATGCAGGGGACACGGGTTCGTGCCCCGGTCTGGGAAGATCCCACATGCCGCAGAGCGGCTGGGCCCGTGAGCCGTGGCTGCTGAGCCTGCGCGTCTGGAGCCTGTGCTCCGCAACGGGAGAGGCCACAACAGTGAGAGGCCCGTGTACCGCAAAAAAAAAAAAAAAAAAAAAATTCTCCAATAACTTTCCGATGAAAACAGAATAAAACCTAAACTTATCATGGCCTACAAGGATTTATGGTATGGGCCCTGCCTACCGCTCCAACTTTGTTTTCCTCTATTCCTCCCCAAGTTATCTTAACTATGCCCAGTCACAATGGCCTTTTTTCTTGTTCTTTTTAACAGATAAGTTCCTCCTTTATGAGGGCTTTTGCACTAGATGTTCATTCTGCTTTAAAAGATCATCGTGGCTCAAGTATTGTTCAAATGTCTCCTTGAAGTGGCCAATCCCAATCTCTATCATATTATCTCTATCATATCATTCTGCATTTTCTTCACAGAATTTCTCACATTATCTTAAGTCCTCTTACTTATTTTATGTTTATTGTCTGCCTGCTGCCACTAATAACACAGGATCTCTGAAGACATGGATGGCGTCCAGTTCAAATCTGTATCCTAAGTGCCTAAATACACTGCCTGGCATGTAATGAGTGCTCAAATATATTTGCTATTTGATTGGCTTTGGGATTCAGCTTTAAATGTCATTTCTTTAAAGTCTTTCATAGAACATAGAGTTTATATAATTTTTGGCATGATTATCTAATTACTACCTATCTTTCCCATTAAGTCAGATAACTCTTAAGACCACAAAGTCTATGTCTATAATGCTTACCTCCCCTCTCCACCCAAACCTAAGACACTTCCTGGCATAGACAATGCTCAATTAAAAGTTGGGATCTGGAGAGCAAGTGGAACCCTAGTACTGGAGCAGAGCAGCAAATCTGGTCTCACAGAAAGGGAGCTCTACTGGGCACCAGAAGGCCTGGATTCTAGTCTCTGCTCTTGAGGCTTTGAGAAAGTCTTTAATCCTTCTACCCCTATTATCAAACACCAGTAACAACTACTCAGTCTATTTCATCAAGCTCTTGTGATGACCAGGTGAGATAATGGGAAACCACTTTATAAATGTGGGGTATTAATGTTATTCTGCCAAAAACTACATAAAGATGAATATCTCTGGAAAGGCAATTTAAAGAAAGTAATGAAGATAAAATAATATGTTAAATCTTAAAAATAAACACATAAGTAAACAAATAAATAATAAAAATTGGGAAGGAGGAAGGGAGAAGGGTTGGAAAGAAGTAGAAAGAGGGGCAAGAGATTATAAATTAAAGAGTATTTACAATAGGGGAAAAAGTGAGAAAAGGTATCAGGAAGACAAGATACATTTTCAAACATGTAAAAATTGCTTGTGTTTCCTAACTTAGTTTTCTTTTCTTGTTAATTTCTTCATAATATACTCATTATAGTAAACAATTCTGAAAACCTTCACCATTTTAGCAACCCTCCTAATCAACCTGCATTATCATTATCACTTTGTCTTCAGATGTTGCACCCAGCATTATACAGACTCAAAACTTGTTTAATCACAACATAATGAGATCATTTTTTCCACATGATCTAATATTTTAAGAAATGACTGTAAGACATTATGACTGATTTTATAAAAATAAATTATATTTTTACTCAAATTATGCTGAAACTTAATTATTTTGTAAAATTTCCTTCAACTGCCCTTCACAGCATTATTTATAAAAGTTTAATACTACAAAATAATATCTAAAAAGAAATTATTGTGAAACAGCCAAATAATGGATTATGCAGCTATTTATAAAGTGTTATTTATCAAAAAACTTTAATAACCTAGGAAAACATTTACATGTTAAGATGAAAAAAGAAAAAATAGAAAATCACATAAATTATTTATTACAATTTTGTTTCAACCCACAAGAACAAAAAGACTGGGAAGGCAACAAAAGTTAGGACTTTGAAAGCAGATGAAAAAATAGTAACTGAGCAGACCAAAGAATCTGAATCCTAAATCAGCAATGAGAAAGCAAAGACATATTGATTTTCACAGCAAGACCCGCAAAGATTCAGGAATTGACAACTCTAGCTCCCAGAACATTTCAAGCAGCTAAATATAAATATAAACCCTCTAGGCAGGATACTAGAATGTCTTCTCTGAAAACTCAGATTATCACAAAAAGAGAAAACAAAAAGTAAAACAAAGATAAAGATACTGACATCGGAGACTGTGAGAAAAACTTAGCCCTACAGTAAAGCCTACAATCAACAAGTTCTACCCACATGCACAGAGCTTCCAATCACCTTTTCAGTGGCCCATTCTCTTGAGTTAATAATGGGCAAGGATCAACAAATACTTGAGAAAAGTCAAAGTCAGAAGCCAAAAACAACAAACTTAAAGATGAACTTGTAGAAAACAGACCATGCACAAAAAGAAAACCTAACAGAAACAATCTATCATTAACATTAAGACCTTTTGAAAGACAGAGGGAGGAAAAAATACTGCATTACTGCATGCATGAATACGAATAGGCTAAAGTTAAATACTGAAGGAAAATCTTCTTGGATATTAAAAAATACAATAGCAGAAATGAAAAAGTGAACAGAAGCATTCTAAGGCTGAAGAAATCTCCCAGATAATGGAAAACAAAGAGAAAGGAAAAGAGAAAAACTAAGAAAATTAAAGGAACCAACATAAGGAGGTCTAGTTTTTGAATAAGAGGCCCAAAAGGCAGATGAAAGCAGAGAAAAAGTAAAAAATAATAATAATAATAATAACAACGTAAGAAAATATCCCAGAAATGAAGGATATGTACTTCCAGATTAAAAAGGTACAAATGAAAGCTTGGTACAATGACTGATAACAGACCAAGACACATGCTTATGAAATTCACAACACTAGTGACAAAACTCATACATGCTTCCACAGAGGAAAAAAAACATCTATGCAGGTGTGCACCCATTCTCACTAGTCACTCCTCTCTTGCCCTCACCCCAAATTATGTAGTTATACAACTGCTTTTGTACCCAATTGTGTGATTTTATTTTTATACTTATTAAATTTCATCTTTCATTTTGCTAAAAAATATATAAAAAATCTTTTATATTGAAGTATATAAAAAGACTTTAAGAATGTTAAAATGTTGATAAATCACTTGAGACACTGCCATAATAAACACATGGCAGTTCACTTGTACTATTCTACCTGTTAGAATGTTTGAAAATTTACTTAAGTAAAAAAAAAAAAATTATTTTAAAGATGCTGATGAGTTGCCTCTCACTTGACTAAGGATGAAAAAATATCTTTGTAGTAGATATGAAAATAACTTAAATTTTGATTCTTAAATTTGTTCCTTTGTCTATCCACCAGTACCAGTCTGGGTCTTTCTTCATTTCGTACCTATAGTACTCCAACAGCTCCCTATCTAGCCTCTGTCTCCCTTTTTCCCTCTTACATTCTATAGCTTACCCTGGTACCAGTTCTTTTTCTAAAAACCAGATTTGCTCATACTATTCTCCTACCCAAGAACTTTCAAATGGCTTCCTATTGCCCATACATATGTCTGCAAGCTAGTTTTAGATTAAGATCTTTCTCATCATTTCTACCATTTCCAGGATTCTCTCCTCTATGTCTCATCTACCCCAACTCTCCTTTAATGCTAACTGGTTTTGTTCACATTGCTCTCTCTGCCTACAATGTTCTACACTCCCGTCTCCTACTAATGAAAACTCACTCATTTTTCACTTATCACATCCCATTTGAATCCTTCTAGATTCTGCAGTGCAGGATAACCCAATCTCTCCTCTGAACTCCCTACTGTATTTTGTCAATACACCAACATAACACTTGTCACAATACGTCATGGTTATCAGTTCACATGTACACATCATTCAGATCATGAGCTCCTTGAATACAAAGACCCTCTTTTACTGTAGCATCTAGCACAGTGCTGGGCACACTGAAGGTACTCAGATACATCAAGAAAGCTGGGCAAGCTTTTTTCCTTCTCTTTCTCACCAATCCTAATAATTATAGTTCAAATGGTAGATAAGTGGACAAGAGCTTGGACTTCATCCAACCACACCATACACTGCTGCCAGAATACTGCTACTGTAAGTCACTCTCCTGATCACTAACAGGGAGTAATTCCTCCAATTCATCTTTCTGGTTTCTAGGCTTTCTAAAATTAAACCACACTCTACAAAGCCATGTCTTCTGTTCTTCTCCAGAAATAACTCTCTGATCCAATAAAGCTGATTTCTTAATTTGACTATACCTGTTAAATTTAAGTCCTTATTCATTCAGAATTAAATAAATCAGAATGGAACAATGACCTCCTCTCACATGATCAAAAGAAACTTCAAAATAATTTTTCAGTAGACTGTATGTATATAACTTATTCACAATGGCTACCTTCAACAAGAGACCAGACCCTAAGAGTTTCTTTTTATCCTTTAGTTTTAGAAGTTTACTGCAAAAAGACAAAGTATAGAGAAGCTGGCAGTTTAAAAAGACAGTTCTCATTTCTGTTAGAAGAAAATTAAAAGCACCATTGCAAACAAACTATTTCTCATCAAGACAACTTTTCTAACTATTCATTGCAATCATGAAAAACAATATATTCAATGTCTCAATAAGTAGATATCACCAAAAAGAACTTGATGACCATTTAAAATAAGATAGACATCATCACACACTTTCAAAATATTTACAGCAGAACAAGAACCAAATACTTACCCAAAGTAGGATGTAAATTAAAATTAAATTCTCTATACAGAACTGTGTCCAGCAGAGCGGCTACATCTGCGGATATAGCACATGCATTGCATAAGGCAGTATTTTGGTGGACTGGGCTGTAGCCCCAAACGGGACACAGAGAAGTTCCTGCCCACAAAAGTTCCCTGGGTATATAATCCAATCTAAAAGTCACTCCCAGTCTTCATCCCAGTGTCACTCAATACAAGAATCAAGAATTAAGAATTAAGGTAAAGGAAGAAGAGTTTACAATCAGATTTTGAAAAAAGTTTGTAGGTTGCTTGCTGTGTATCACACAAGTATGAAAATACATTATTCTTGGGACTGATCCTATGGAATGGAGAAGCCAGAAGTCAGACTTGATACCCAAGTGGTATCAACCTGCAAGTCCCTCATTAAACCTGCTCCTTTTAATATTAATTTAAAAAAATCAATGACTTTATCCTAATTTTGTTGAGTCTTTCTTGGCGACCGGCAAAGAACACCTAAGATTCCTGACCCATCTTAAACTGCAGAAGACATTACACCAATGGTTTCAGTCTCATACAGATAATAAGCAGTATGTCATCTACCTTACCATTTTTAACAGAAAAGTAGGACAAATAAGTCTCCAATTCTGATAAAGATTATAGCGGGATCTACAATGAGTGCATAGCCTGTTGCCATGAACTTTTATATCCTACAAGCAAACACACACTTGACTCAAAATAAAATCACAACATATAGCAAGAATAGTTTTACTTTGCATTTGTTAGTATAATAGGCTATAATTCACATGCTTGCAAAAGTGGAGATAAAACAACAATCAGCAAATTTGTAAGTCACCAGGAAGCTGAAGGTTTGGAAAAAAGGTAGCTATTTCCACTTTAATCTTGTCCCTCGAGTAGTGGTATGGGAGCAGACTCAAGAACAAAAAATGAGAGCAACCAAGGATAATTTACTAAAATTCACCTTAAAAAGATTGAATCTGCCATCTTGGATCTCTGCACCTGGTGTAACTTCCATAGTACAGTCTTCGGCCTAAGTTAAATAACATATTCCCCATTAAGATACCACATAATTTTTAATTGATAGGCCACATAAAGACAAACCAGCTGTGGCTAGTCTGTGAATTGAAACTAAAAACATCAGATAATCATTAATATGAAACTCTGAAAGGGAAGGAAGGGAAAAAAAACAAACAAGGTAAAATGGAATTTTTAAACTATCATATAGCATTTAACCACCTTTATAGGGAAAAACTGATGTATTTAGGGAGCAAAACTGGGATGGTAGAAAAGGCTGGGGTATTTTGGAATATTTACTAATTACCGTAATTTTATTTGTAGTAGAGGTAACTGGTATAACTTCCAGTCCCATTCGTATCCTCTTTTGTTTTTCACAGTAAGCTTTCCAGGTATCTTCATTAAACCCATAATTAAAATAATCAGAAAGATCAGCACCTAAAGATAAAACACACTTTTAGTGTACGAAATTTCAATTCTATTTTTATGCAGCACATAAAATATAATAAACTGTAAAAATAGAGTTCTATTAGTCTCATCTTCTAATTTTACCAATTCTCCCAATTGGTAAAATTTTGATCAAAATTACTCCCTTTAGAAATGGCATTACAGGGTAAGCTGGGACAAAATGAGAGAGTGGCATGGACATATATACACTACCAAACGTAACATAGCTAGCTAGTGGGAAGCAGCCGCATAGCACAGGGAGATCAGCTCGTGCTTTGTGACCACCTAGAGGGGTGGGATAGGGAGGGTGAGAGGGAGGGAGATGCAAGAGGGAAGAAGTAAGGGGACATATGTGTATGTATAACTGATTCACTTTGTTATAAAGCAGAAACACACCATTGCAAAGCAATTATACTCCAATAAAGATGTTAAAAAAAAGAATTGGCATTATAATAAAACAATATTCAAGTCTACTTTTATACAATGCTAGGCCACCTGTAAGATTTAATAATAGAGGTTCATTATTGCTCATGTGCTTAAGATAATGAAAATTACATTTAAAAAATAATATTCTAAACTGATGCTGAAAAAAAACTTTTCTAATAATTGTTTAGACTAAAAATCTTTTGAAACTGATATAATCCACAATAATCTTACCAGGTTTACGCCATGGTTTATCTTCAAAAGAATCCAAATCTACCTCCAAAAGTGGCACTCCATTAATGCTTCCAGGTGCATCAAGATCTACTCCTTTGACTTTCGTCCCTACTTTAGAAAATTACAAAATGGTGAAGGAACTATATTAATAAGAAGCTGAGAGATACCACAGACAAACAGAAAACAATGACACCTTTTTACTACTATTAGCACTAAATATGGTCAAGATTCCAAACAGAGTAGTAATGGTTACCACAAATAAAAAGTGAGGTCAAAGTTTATGGTGTAGCTATAAGATAAAATAGAGAGATTAGAGACTTCTTGTTTATAATAAGGGATTCCTATACCAAGAAGTTAACTTCCATGTTTTAAATCATTGTCTTTGTACAGTCTGTGAGCTGTAAGAAAGGGTTGTAGCACCAAAAAACAACAGCAACAACAAAAAAAAACCCCCCACACACGTGACAGGAACCCTATGTGACCCACACAGCCTAAACTATTCATTATCTAGCCATTTATAGAAAAGTGCCCATTCTATGATATATGGTCAAAAACTGCTCTTTTTAATTGAGCTGTAATAGCTATTAAAATCTATTCATGACCTATTCAGATATATGCCCTATTTTCTATTGATGCAACTGCAAATACAAATTTTACCTGTAGTTCCATAAACTCTTCCTCCTGTCTTGATGTTAAGATTTACAGGTGCTGTACCATAACTCCTAAAAAATAAAAAAAATTATCCTGAGATGCTTAAAGTAAACAAAAGCAGCAATATATTCAATATGTACACATAAATTACATACCCACATATTAACTAGATAAACTGACACTAACTCAAACATTTTAGAAAATGTTTTAAACTAATTTAAAAAGCCTGTCACTTGCTTAATAAGAGATAAAAAAAAAATATTTTTTAAAAGTCTGACTAATTTTCCATCTCAAAAACCTACCTGCGATTAACTCAATATCCCAGTCTAACAAACTTTCGAGAAATTTGGCTGGGAAGGGAAGAATAGTTTATATGCCTTGTTTTCACTTCCTTGACTCCCAGTCATCCAACTGGACTTGTGAAAACTCACTGCTTCTAGTCTGCCTAACAATTTCCATCTTTTGTCTCCAATGTATTAAATTTATGAAACCTAGGTTATTCTGCTTAAAAAAATAAGGATATTCAATAAAATATTCAAATAACTGTATAAAGATCCACTACTATAAATGCAAGAAGTATGAAGGAGCCTAAAATAAATGGTTACTGTCAAGCTGTACTATCATTACCAACTTGAAAGGTTTAATCATCTCATTGACTAATTCTCCAATAAGTGCTTAAGCACCAATAATACATCACATATAGTTCTAAGCCAAGGAGAGAGAATGAGGAGCTGGACAAATATGGTTCCTGCCCCATGATGCTTACATTTTCAACAAGCTAAATTCAGCACAGCCAAAGCACTCTGAGGTATCTATATATGATGTACAAAAGTCCTAGCTGTTTGAAAGCCAAAATACAAAAACCAAGGACTGTCTCCAAATGGTCCTCTTACAGAACTGCTAAAGGATAAACCAAAACAGTATTTATAAAAGGCTTACCATAGTTCATTAAATGAATTTCTTTGCTTCTCACCCAGCTACTTTCCTTCCTTCCCCATTCTGCCCTTTAAAACGTTACTTTTCTTTTTTAATGCCTCCAAGCCTTCACATTCATTGTGTGTAAAGAACCTTAGCTGTCTGGAAAACTGCACTTAAGTAAATCTGATACCGTTCAATAGCACCCACCATGAGGTCTCAGGCTTCTCTAGGGGTTAGATCCTATATACTTGGATGTTTACAAAAACTTAAAAATAAATGTATCAAAAAATTTTATCTTAACCTGCTCCTCCCACCTTACCCATATATGGTAATACACTGTTCAGTACACTGAACTACTCTAGAAAGCTCCAAGTCACTGAATCCTTTGTCTCCCTTTCCATCTACAACCAACCCATTACCCATGTTATTTCCATTTATTATTCACTGAAATATATTGAATTCTTCCATCTATCCCTATATTACTGCTGCTGGTTTAGTTTGGACTATCATCCCATCTGGATGATTACTTCAAATCTAATAACTAAGTTCTATCTAGTCCATCTCAACTACTACTGCTAGAGTTATATTTTCAAACAATGTGACCTGCCTAAAAACCTTTAAGGGTTCCATGATGACACAGCAAAAACATCCTAACTACCTTCTTCTGTGGTTTCAAGCATCCTCTCTCATCTACCTTATCCTCCAGTCTTGTGGTTCGTCTAAGTCATGCTTCCACTACATCTAAGTAGTTTCTTCTGTCAAAATCATCAGTTCTCTTTCTTCTGTCTCAAGAATTATTCAAACAAATTCATATATTACCTCCTCTAGGATCTTCTCTTCAACACATGCAGACTTTTAGCAACTGTCCTCTCAAAGCTTTCCAATCACCCTGTACATGTTTCTATTCAAGCATTTACACTGCAAGGAAAGTATCTGCTCACATGTCTATCTTCCTCACTACTTTTGATAAATAAGGACAGTTGATATTTCCATCATCAATTATTAGAGTGCCAAACAAACTGCCTTTGAAAAGTGTTAATGAATGAGCAGCTGAATTTCAAAGATACAGCTAAGAAACCACTCCTCTATACAAGGTAAATTATTCCTACCCTAAGATTTGATTTTCCTCATACCTTACTTACAGATACAATAAACTCTGTAACAAAAGTATGTCACCTAAAAAACTTTCTAGTCTTTACCTTCTAACAGCTTATAATAAACCAATTTAGTATTGTTCCTTGAAAACAATTTGCTCTTTAAATTTGCCTCTGAAATGCTGTGCACAAAGTAAATATTCATCAAATTTTATTTTCTCCCTTTCTTTCAGTTTTCAATGGATATATCTTGAGATATTAAGGTTAAAACAAGCTTTATACGCTTCAGAAAGATCTGTAACTTACTTTGAAATGCATAAAAAATACAAAATAAGGGGACTTCTCTGGTGGCACAGTGGTTAAGACTCCACGCTCCCAATGCAGGGGGCCCTGGTTCGATCCCTGGTCAGGGAACTAGATCCCACATTCAAGCCGCAACTAAGTCGTTGCATCCCACAACTAAGGAGCCCATGTGCCGCAACTAAGAAGCCAGCAAGCCGCAACTAAGACCCAGCACAACTAACTAACTAACTAAATAATTTTTAAAAAAAATACAAAATAAAAAAGATGGATTGATGAATGGGTGGAGGCATGGAGATAGGCAGGTAGTAGACAGATAGCTGATAAAGCAAACACAGTAAAATGTAAATTGTATAATCCAGGTGATGAGTAAATAAATGGGTGTTCACATCAGTTCCTTAAACTTCGAATGTTTGAAAATTTTCGTAATCAAATGTTGAGAAAAAAAGTTCAAAGACAACGTGTTTTTAACACGCAGTCAATTTAGTGAATAAACACTTACTAAATACTATATTTAAGGCAATGTAAGGAATAGGAAAATTCATAAACCACTCAAAGAATTTAGAATCTAAAGGTAATAAACACGTGCAAACATCATTCAATCCATGAAACCGGAAATTTTGTTATAAGAAATAAAGTTCAGATAAAGTACTATGGGAGTCTACATGTATTTAATATTTGCACGCAAGTCCCACCCCAAAATTGGTCATATTAATAAAAAGTAATCACCATTTGCTTTAATTGTTCTGTACTTGAAAATACAGATAATTTTATATTAAATATAAGTATTTACTAAATATGCAATTGATTATTATAGTATTATGTTAAAGTTCCTTCTGCATAATGCAGATGGATAAAGGCCTATTAGCATAAAGGCTTACTAATATCATAGCTCAACACTAATTATTTACTTTAAGTGGGGATGAGGAGAACATCAAGAGTTATCCTAACTTGAATAATTTAGTCTCTTCTCAAACCTGCTCCCTAAAAAAGTTGCTAGGGTCTTAAAATTACATCAGCAGTCATTATTATAATGCAAAACTGATTATGACAACTGAATTACCTTTAAGCTTCTTGAAATAACTTTTGAAAAAATTTCTCTACTGAAGAAATAAAAGATTCAAAAGGATTTATGTATATATTGGTTCATTTCAGATAAGGCTGCTTTAATGAACTATAGTGCAATTAATGAAAAGTTTACTTTATATTCCCAACGCACTAGTACCACATCATACATCCAATCTGAAAAGGATAGAGAAAACGTCAACTCATATTCTACCACCATAACAAAATCACAATATGTACTTTATTCCCTTCCAATCTTTCTGTAAGATTCTTTATGTGCTCAATGAGTCAATGACAGGCCATTCATTTGATCCAGCTTTACAGACTATAAACTTTGAGACAACCTATTGGCATAAATAGCATACAGGATAATTAACCACTTGAAAAATACACTATGAAAAGCAAAAAGAAATACTTTTGATACTGTTTTTATGGGACAAAGAAATTAAAAACCTAAACTGAAGTCTGGATAGGTAATAAAATGTAAGAATAATATAGATGTAAACAGCAATTTAAGGTTTTCTAATTCTAATTAAAGAATCTGGGGACTTCCCTGGTGGTCCAGTGGTTAAGAATCCGCCTTCCAATGCAAGTGATGCAGGTTGGATCCCTGGTAGGGGAACTAAGATCCCACATGCCACAGGGCAACTAAGCCCACGCACTGCTACTGAGCCCGCATGCCGCAACTAGAGAAGCCCTCGCTCAACAACTAGACAAGCCCGCGTACTGCAACGAAGAGCCCATGCGCCGCAACGAAGATCCCGCGTACCGCAATTAAGACCTAATGCAGCCAAATAAACAAATAAATAAATTAAAAAATAATAATAATCTGGGGCTTCCCTTGTGGCACAGTGGTTGAGAGTCCGCCTGCCGATGTAGGGGACACGGGTTCGTGCCCCGGTCCGGGAGGATACCACATGCCATGGAGCGGCTGGGCCCGTGAGCCATGGCCGCTGAGCCTGTGCGTCCGGAGCCTGTGCTCCGCAACGGGAGAGGCCACAACAGTGAGAGGCCTGCATACCGCCAAAAAAAAAAAAAAAAAAATCTGTATCACTCAATCCATTTGTAAAACCATTTCAATTTCAGGAATCAAAAACTGCTGCTTCTTGTAACTTTACCTAATTAACTTTATGTTTAAGAAAAAAATATTTTCATGGTGAAATTCCTTTTAGTCATGAGATATATTGATACTTGACATATAACACTGTATTAATTTTAGGTAAACAACATAATGATTTGATATATATATAAACTGCCAAAATGATTACAATAAGTTTAGTTAACATCCATCACCAAAGATAGTTACAAATATTTTTTTTCTTGTGTCAACAGCTTTTACCTACTGTCTTAGCAACTCATCACATGAAATTTTAACGAGTTCTTTCATATCATGGTAAGATGAAAAAATGTAAAAACACTGGAATCAACCACCAATTGTTTGATATAGACACACTACCTTTGATTTAAGCACACAGTTGTTACTTAAAAATAACTTACCCATACTGTGGTGCTCCCGTTTTAATGTCTCCTATAGTGACATGAACATCATCCTCATCATCATCACTGTCGCTATCACTATCGTCTTCAGTCTCTGTCACTTTCTATATCAACATAAACAACCACAAGATACACTCAATAATCCATTTCAACGTCCGATATGAATAACTGAAAAGGTAACCATTTTGCATTTTTTGAGCTAATTCTAGAGAAAAAGTTACAGTGCTACTACCTACTTCAACTCATTTACAACGTTGATGTTTTGCAATGATAAAAAGGGATAAGAATGTGAAGTAAAACCTTTTTTCAACATTGTCTTTTTGTAAATAGCACATGTATTTTTTCCTACTATTTATAACTGCTCCTCTTGCACAAAGGATCTAAGGCAATGTACTAAAATACCTAGAAGATATTTTTAAAATATTTGAGGAATTCTTAGCAAAAAGAACATGAAGGTAGGAGGAAAACAACTAATTTTAAGGGTCACAGTGTCACCGTTAAAAGCACCAAATAGTTAAAAAGCAGCTCACTTATTCTTGACATTCATGTACACATAGAAAAGGCCCTGCATGCAAATGACTGAGGGAATACTTTGTTTCCATGAGTAAAAGCAGGGACATTTATGAAGGCTTTATTTTGGCTCTAAAAGGCTGTTCTGTGCTTAGTCACATAATAGTAAATTTAAAAAGTAGATCACCAAGGCTAAATACTCTTTTGTATACAAGTTCAAGCTTGCAGAATAAGAATTTCCTTCTTTTTACAAGATTAAAACGTTAAAATACTCATGGGACCAATGATTTGTTCACCCCCCCCAAAACATCACTTTTAACAGGCATGAGGTCAGACTGTCATTTATATAAAAAATAATTTTTGCTAAAAAACTTGACAAACAAGTTGAAAAACTCAATGTCTGCTTTGAAAACCAGGCTCACTATGATCTAACTGACCTATGACCACTGGGTTCCTTGGTAGCAACAAACATCAAGCCTTTGCACATGCCCCATTTCATCTGAACTCTCCTCCCACTATTCCTTCTCATGGTTACACTTGTTTTTGACGGCACCAGATGACACAGGAGATATAAAAGGGGCCCGATTATGCAAAATACTGGCAGTCATGTTAAACTCTGGTTTTCTTCCTAAGTGAACAGGAAGCTATTGATAAAGATTTTAAACAGATAAGTAACCAGATCTCAAAGCCTTATGTTACCGGTTTAGGTACGCCATTTTCAGGAGTTTCATCTTCAATTCCCGATGGAGGGTTAGCACTACAAACAACAAAAATAAGTACACAACTGGTATTACTTTTCTGAAGTACAGACGGAGCATACTAGTATTTTTAATCTATGTCTGATAGTTTCCTGAAATTACTGTCTCCACCAGAGACAAAAAAAGATGGTAAAAACTGCCTGTCCTATTCTGCTATTCCTAATGCCCTACATAAAACGTGTATACTGAACACTGGAAGTAGAATGGAATTGCCTCCACAATTTGTTAACGATGCCAAATTTGCAATTTGACGGTGGGGTACAATCTGAGTTTTTACATTTTTAAAATATGCATCATACTTAATCAATTTTATTTATCCTAAAACTACACTGAACTTCAAGGTACTCTAGGAATTGCCAAGGGCCATGTAACACACACAGTTTCCTCTTTTCCCTGGGGCCCAAGGAACTCAGATGTGCGGTATGATGAGGTTAACTCAGTACTGAGTTAACACACATGCTTCTTCCTAGTTTTCTGTTTCATCAGTCTTATTGGATATATGTCCTTTGTTGTATAAAAAACAAATTTTAATATTTTAAAAAAGTTTACTTTCATGTAAAGACTGCCTTCCAATTTGACACTAAGGCGCTCCGGACCTAATTTTGATGCATTAAAAAATAATTACTTTTTTAAAACCAGTTAATACTTGAATTTGCCCTGTTACAACAAAATTGACATGTAACAATAAACACATACTCTGAAGAGACTCAAGCATATGGCCATTAACCATGAAATAAAACTTCTAGTACCACAGTGCAAATGGTTCCTTATATTTTTAATAATCATGATTTTGAAAGTGGGAATTAACCATTCACCTCATTTTATAGATGAAGAAACTGAAATACAAGGCAACTGACAATTATTTAGTAGCATTTCTAGGGAAAATGTCCAGATGTTGATATAGTTCAAAGCTCTTTTCACTGGGTTTCTGCTAATCTCTTCTAAACTTCACTTTTTGTCAAGCAGTTTCTATATAAACCAATTTAATCTCTATAGTGGTATTCTGTAACACAATCTCCAAACAAAGCAAAATGAAGGACAAAACCTGAAAACTTATCTGTTAAACTTTCATAGTTCTAATGCTTGAACCCCCCCCAAAATGCAATTATAATTATTCAGTACATTTCTCAGATGTAAGTTGAGCTTGTTCTTTATGTCACAAAACAGTATGTTTAGCCACAACTTTGATATAAAACAAGACAATCAGAGACAGCACAGTGCAATGGTTAAGAACAGTTTTAACAATGGGCCAATCACAAAGAAGCTGGGGAAAACTCTAATAGCAAAGACTCGGCTCAGCGCAACGAACTAGGTACCGCGCTGGAGAGCAGAACACAGGTTTGGCAGAGCTCTCTTTCCCAATAGACTTTTGAAAGTTTTAATTCTCTATCACCATTAAAACACTAGAAACATGATAAAATTATAAGCTTTATCTAGAAAAATAACATTTTAAGGGTAGATCTTTTCCTTTGGATGAAATAAATTTAACAGCTTTCCAAATAAAATGTTAATAAGGAACATGAAGACATTTTGACAGTGATAGGGAAGGGCTCCTCTCCAATCAATTTAATCAAGCTGTGTATTGAGGAATTAAGACATATTTAATCAGAAAATAAGCTTCAAGAATGATAGCCAAGAACTAATATTAACAAAGTAAAATAAAAATTAGTTCACAAAACTGTGTATCTGATTGTTATCATTAATTTCTTGATCAACTGAAAAAACAGGGTATGAAGAAATATTACTTTCATAACTATTAAACTACACAAATCCCAACTCTGTGGTTAACTAAGTAGGGTTAGGAACTGGGTTGGATATATCCATTTCAAAACTAAATGACAAGGGCTTCCCTAGTGGTCCAGTGGTTAAGACTCCAAGCTTCCACTGCAGGGGGCGGGGGTTCGATCCCAGGGGGATGTTCCGCATGCCACCAAAGGTGGACAAAAACAAAAAACAACAAAACAAAAAACCCTAAATGACAAGATTTCAGATGATACAGCAATGAATAAAATAAATAAATAAAAACAAAAAAAATCTTCCAACATAGGGGTATTTTTTTTTTTTTTTTTTTTGGGGTACAAGGGCCTCTCACTGTTGTGGCCTCTCCCGTTGCGGAGCACAGACTCTGGACGTGCAGGCTCAGCGGCCATGGCTCACGGGCCCAGCCGCTCCACGGCATGTGGGATCCTCCCGGACCGGGGCACGAACCCACGTCCCCAGCATCGGCAGGCGGACTCTCAACCACTGCACCACCAGGGAAGCCCTATAGGGGTATTTTTAAGCGAGGAACAATCAACTCAGCACCCCCTGAGCTGTTTCCACTTCTCACTTCTTCCCTCCATTAACTTTTTAAAAAAATAACAGCTTTGAGATACAATTCATGTACCACACAATCCACTCATTTGAAGTGTACAACTGAAAGGTTAAGTATATTTACAGAATAGTGTATGTATGTATCTATCTATCTAATTCCAGAACATTTTCATCACCCCAAAAAGAAACCTTATATATTTGTAGTCACTCTCCATTTTCCCCTGTCCTGGTAACTACTACTTTCTGTCTCTTTGGATGTACCTATTGTGTACATCTAATATAATAAGAAACATAATACGTAGTTCTTTGTGACCAGCTTCTTTCATTTAGCATGTTTTCAAGGTTCATCCATGTTGTAACACATCTCAGTACTTCATTTCTTTTTACTGCCAAATAGTATTTCGCTGTATGGATATACCACTTTTCTAAATCTACCCATTTGATGGACACTTGGGTCATTTCCATTTTTTGGCTATTATGAATAATGCTGCTATATATGGTAGCTCTATGTTTAACCTTTAGAGGAACTATCAGACGGTTTTCCATAATAGTTGCACAATTTTACAATCCTACCATCAGTGTATAAGGGTTCCAATTTCTCCATATCTTCACAAGCACCTGTTAACTATCTGTCTTTTTTATTACAGCCATCCTAGTGGGTGTGAAGTCGTATTTCCCCCTCTTTTTAAACCCAAATGTTCTTTAAAAGTCCTTTTTGTAATCACGCCTCCCCCATTATAAGACACTAAGGCATCTGGTCAGTGATGTCAGCATATCCATATACTATCCATGAGCTATTCTGAAATTTAGAATAAGTTTCTGGCTCCCTGATATGTTCTGTAAATGATACTCAGACCTTTCTAGTAATCTAACAAAGGCAATCAATCTTATAACAAATTCACTAATTCTACTTCGAATTTTAAATAAATACGAAACACTGAAATTATAACCACAATGCATTACACCATCAAAAATATTAAGTTGTAAAAGTAGTTACCCGAGGAATTCTTTATCTTAAAAAAATTTTTAAGTTAAAACTTTTTTTCTTAGTAGTCTGATGGTTATACTGTATACTCCACTACTGAGCTCATTTAACAGTACAAAGTTACTTAATAGTGAAAAATATCCAAACCCTTACTTCAAAAACATTTTGTCCCCTGGGCTACTAGCAAATAAACAGAATTGGTATAAGATTACGTCCTGAAATAGTAATAAACTATAAAGGACTCAGTGTCTTGCTATCTTTGTCAAAATGTAATCAAACCAATGATTATAACAAAATAATTCTGACAATCTGTTGACAGAAGCACTGTACCGCACAATCTGCAAAATTATCAACAAGAAATTTCACTAACCTGGCATTTTCTTCTTCTGGCCTTTCAACTTCATTTTCATCTACCAAAAAAAATACACAAATAAATAAATAAAATTAACAAACAAACCACTCTTAAAGAAACCAGTATTATGAAAATCTGAAGTGATCATCACAAGCACTAACCTAGGTCCTTTGCCAAATCACTGTGCACATGCACGTCCCATGGGCCTATAAGCACATCCAAAGTTAGATCACCTTATAATGACTTAACAAGATATGTCTTTTATGAAAAATAAAGAAATAAAAAAATCAGACTTTACTTCTATAAAAATAAACTTAAGAAGTATTAAAGATTTCTAGACCTTTGTAAAAGAAACCCTATACATTTACATTTCAAACAGTACTACGAATGCTAAATCTTGCCGCCAAAGATAACGTATTTTACAAGTTTATCAAAATCAAAGTTTGTCGAAGTCACATCATCAAGGAGCTGCGTGGTGCCCAAACGTGCACTTTTACTAAACTATCCTAAAGACAATCAAGAATACGCATTTTAGGCAAGGAACAAACATTAACTTTCAAATCTAGTACCGGCAACAGACAAGAAGGGACTGTGACTTCATGGAAGTTAAGAGCCAGATGTCAAACAACTCCCTTTCAAGGGGGAAGTAAAAGATGCAGTAAACTTATTTTATGAAAAAGATATACACGAGGTGATACTGAAAACCATAAGCCTAAGGGACATGAGGTACTTCTATGTGGGTTAAAACGCAGTCTCTTAAAAAAGAAAAACTTCACCTTAATACAGGAGACATTCGGGGTTTTCTTTATGGGCCATAATGTATTCCATCTCTTTCTTTCTCTCTCTCTCTTTTAATTAATTATTTTTAAAGCACGACTTTCACACAAGGAGGTACCCTTGCAGGTGCATTCCATACAAACTGACCATCAAGAAACAAGACGTTAGTTTTACAGCATCAACTTTATTTAGCTATTATTACAGAATGACTGTTCCTGGGACAGGAAGGGCATCCCATACTCAAGGGGCAAGAAGAGACACACCAACACAGCTTAAAATCGATATAAGAAAACAGGAGGAAAAGAGCACAGAGGCGAGGCGGCCGAGAAGCCCGGTAGGAGTGGACGGCGAGGCTGGGGGCCCGGCCCCTAGCCCCCTGCCCAGCGGGGTCCCAGCCGCCACCTGGTGGGTGCGTGTTGGGGGGCGTGGGCTGGGCGGGAGAAGGCAAGGGGGGCGGGGGACGCGCACGCCTAGCTCGGCCTAAGTCAGGCCGCATGAGGCTCCATGCAAGAGGCCCCAGGCGGCGGCGAGAGGGCCCCAGGACGCCGGCCGTTTGCGGGCCGGGAAGAGAGGCCTGAGATAACCCGGGAGAGAAAGAAGGGACAGGAAGTTCCGTACCGCCATAGAGCCACTCTTCCTCCTCATCCCCTCCGGTCCCGCCGCTCAGCTCCGACACTAGGCGCTCGACCTCGCCAGCCGACATGGCCGCCCCGAGCACAACTTAAAGGCGGCGATCAACAGCCCCCTCCAACCCTTCCCCAGCCTCGCTGCCCGGGGTCTCGAGAGGGGCGCGAACCCGCCGGCGAGCAAACGAAGAAGGCGCGAGACTCAAATCCGGGGTAGGTGGCCCCGGCGGCGGAGGCGGCAAAGAACACAACTCCGGCGCCGCTCCGCCCGCGCACGCGCACGCGCACGCGCAGCAGCATCCGAGCGGCGCGGAGTCTCTAGGTGGCTTCGCTTCCGCGGCGGCGGCCACCTGAGCCTGGTTGCGCCTGCGCACCGTAGTTGGCCCCGCCTCCACGGGATCTCGCTTGCCTTTTAGCCTAGCTTTCTCCCGTGACGTCCTACGTAGGCTACGATTCCCCTCCCCCAACGTTCCTTCTGATAACCTGTAATTGCTTTTGCTGGAGAGTGCACCGTCGTTACTTTCCTCATGTGCTGCTTGCTTTCTCGTTTTGTTTTTTAAAAATCTTCCGGAAGGCCTTGTTTCGTTCTTTACTTGTATCAGACTTGATCCAGAATCGTTGCCTTATCAGTCCCTGTTTCTCATTAGAGAAGAAATCATAATTCATGCCCACTTTCCTGAAAAATTAATTTTAACAGCAAACAAAAGCCAAACTAAAAAATGAATAATGCATTCTCTTTGTCAAAAAGTCAAAGACCTTCTCATCCACTACCCTCCTTTCCAGAAGTAGCCCTTGTTTTTCTGGTTCATGGGCAGCATTATGAAATTTTATACATATTTGCTACACGTGTATTGTTTCGGTGAAAGAACCTGAGATTAATGAGTCTTAAGGGGTACAATATTGTATGTATCACTGTGTAGATTTTTTTATTTGATTGGTTGGTTTGGTTGTTTTTCCTCAGCAGTGTCTTGGAGGTCCTTTGCATATTTGTGTATGTCAAACTATGTTCATTTTTTAAGTGCTTCATCATATTTTTTCATTTATTTATTTAACAATTATTGAATATCTGCTGTTTAAGAACTTGGGAAATAAAAGTATGAGTAAAGCACAGCCCCTGCCCTTGAGAGCTCTCAGTTTATTGAGAAAGGCAGAAGGGTGGTAAACAATTAACTCACCTACAAGGGAAAGGTGGGTCTTAATAGAAGCACCAAGTGTTTTTACACCACCAATGCCACGCCATCTCATGCTATTTAAACAAATCATGTGGTTTTAATCTCCCTAACCTTTGAACATTCCTCTATTGCTATTCTCAGCCTCCCTTGTCTGAAGGGGATAACCCCTTGTGTATTTCTAAAGTCTGTTGAGATATAGTCAACTTTTGAAATCTTTCCTGAACCCCATTTCTTTCTTTATTCTGTAAATACTTATGGAGGGCCTACCAAGTGCCAAGGACTCTTCTAAACCATGTAGATTCAGCAATGAGTAAAACGATGTCCTTCCTCCCGTGAAGCTTTCATTCTAATGAAAGGGAGCCAGACAATAAACATATAAATGTACAGTATGTCAGATAGTGATAAGGATTATAAAGTAGGGTAAGCAGGAAAGGGGGACCCCGAGCAAAGTGATGAAGACGGATAGGATACAATTCTATATCAAGTGGTCGGGGAAAGCCACTCTAATGAGGTGGTTCAAAAGTAGAGACCTGAATGGAGAGAAGTAAACCGTTGGGGATCTCTGGGAGAAGCCCTATCAGGTGGAGAGAATAGGAAGTGCAAAAACTCTGAGGCAGAAGCGTACTTGGAGCATTCAGAGAACCCCAAATGTAGCTGGAGTGGAGTGAGGGAGAGAGGATATGTAGATGAGATTAGAGTTATTCTGGAGTGGGTAGTGCAGAGCTAATCATTCCTTTCTGCAAAGTATGCTGATTCCGTGGCATGTGTCTATCACATCATATAGTAATTATTTGACTACATATCTGTTTTCCTAAGACTTCACCAAATCCTCCCTCCAACAGGGCATCTTCTTATATGTTGTTCTAATTCCTGGTGTGTTGCCTAGCACTTAGGAGATCTTCTTGGCCTCTACTGACAGTAACAAAGTGAAGATTTTACATTCTGCTCGAGTGTCATAAGGCATTCACTCACAGTCCTGTTTATGTTTCTATTTATCATTCTATAAGTCTGTAATGATGGTTTCATGGGAGAACCAAGTGCCTTTTGCTGAAGAGCCTCTTTCTCCTTTCAGCTGCCTGAAATGAGCTTGTCTTTCAAGGCATTACTTAAACTGAACTGAAGAATTGATGAATAATAATTGATGCATCAGAATCGCCTTCATGGTGGAGGTAGCATTTGAGCTAAGCTTTGAAAATGAAGATTTTCACAAGCAGAGAAGCCCATAAATCACTAATAACCACTCTTAAAAAACCTCTTCCTTCCTTGCTTCCAAACTGAGTTCTTTGCCTGGATAGACTTCCTTAGTTAAAGGTATCTTTATCTCCCACCAGGGGAGACTTCAAAGACAGGTAGCTTGAGGATATTATATAAAATTATGACCTTATCAAACTACGATACTCCATATATTCTGATATTTGTTTTCCATTGTGTGTGTGTGTGTGTGTGTGTGTGTGTGTGAGAGAGAGAGAGAGAGAGAGAGAGAGAGAGATCTACTGGTTCTTGGAAAAAAAAAAAAAAAACAAAAACAACAAAGCAACAGTTTTAATGTATCTACCTCTGAGAAGTACTGAAAGAGAATGATCAGTAGATGATTAAAATGACAGGAGGTAAAGATCAAATAAAGGTGCCTTGCTCAGTATTTAGTAGATAGTAAGTACACATAGATGTGTTTTGAATAGATATGGCACTTAGGCTCGACTATACTATTCGCTGCCAACTTTAGTTATGTCATTTCAATGTTCCTCACTTTCCTTATCAGTAAATTGATACATTAAAATAGCATTTTATACCCACTTCTTGGAAGGATAACAAAGGTAAAATGAAGTTTCAAACGTGAAAGCATTTGACAAGTTAGAGGTGACTGGTAAAAGAAGTTTTCATATATTGAGGTAGGGGGAAGTCATTCTGGCTTATCCGTGAGTTAACTTGAATTTTATGCTAACTAGCCTGTTTGTGGCCTATGAAACATACTTTGTACCTCTTCTTTAATTATTAAAGAAAAGGGCACGTTGACCAGAAGTAAAGAATGTCCATGTTAAAAATAAAGATTAGGGACTTCCCTGGTGGTCCAGGGGTTAAGACTTTGTGCTTCCACTGCCAGGGGCGTGGGTTTGATCCCTGGTCAGGGAACTAAGATCCCTCATGCCATGCAGCCAAAAAGTAATAAATAAATAAATAAATAATATTAAATGCCTCCTTTCCTGGAACACCAGAGCTGGTACTCCTTTAATGATAAGACTAACTTTCCAGGTGCCAAGGCCATACTATTCGCTGTGTACCTGCTGATCTTTTTTCTCTTTTTTGAAACCATGTAAGAATGTATCCCTGACTTGTTTGATGTTCTTTCTTCTGATAAGACATAAAATTGTGCTGAAGACTATGCTTCTCCGGAGCAGTTCCTCAGAATTATCTGAGGGGCTGTCTTCCAGGCTATAGTCCTCAGTCTGGCAAATAAAACTTTTCTATGCTATTATAAATTGTTTATTGATTATTTTCTTCAACATATGTTATGGTTTAGGCCTTTTGTCCTTTGAACATCCTGAGAAACTGCACATGTGTAAAGTTTTCCGTCGTCTCTAGATACCATAACAAGGAATTAAGCCTCAATTATTCATCTTCCTCTGCATTCTGATATATTTTAACACTAAATTGTATGTTGCTAGTTGTTTCTGGCAATTGTATCATCTATTCACATCTACACTGCTATGTAAACTTCACATTCTTTAAGGGTGAAAACAAAATTTTTTTGTTCACCAGATTCTCTCTTACAATATCAAGCAAATGGGAAGTGCTTAGTGAATCCTTAAGTGTTGATCATGAACAGAGAGGACTTAGAAATGAGATGGAGATATGCTTGATTTTATGAGAATAGAAAATAATTGCTAGCTATTTTGAGCAGAAAAGTACAAATCACATTTAAATAAGGTACATCTGATGGTCTTAAGCATGCAATTTTAGCAAGAATTCATCTAACTCTGCCATGATGTCTGAGATGAAGAAATCAATTTTTTCCTGGGTTTTCTTCTCTTTTCTGTCTACCCTGTCCCCCAAGGTTATTTCATCCAACCCCATGACTTTTAATACTGTCTATGTGATATATATCTATGACTCTCAATTTTCTGTCTGCATTCTTAATTTATCGTTAAGCTCAGGACAAGCTGCTCACTCAGATGCTTCACCTGATGTCTCTCTTGGGTATTTAATAGCATCTCAAACTTATGCCCAAGACAGAACTTGTGAATTCCCTTCCCAAACCTGTCCTATCCCACTTCCATTCTCTCCCAAGCTTCTCCATCGTATTATGAATAACCACCATCCAACCAGTTGTTCAGCCAAAACCTAAGGAATCATCCTTGATTCCCCTCTTTCCCTCTTGAGTCCCTCTCATGCCTATAAAAATCCATTAGCAAGACCTGTTACTTCTTCCTACAAAATATATCCCAAATCTGTCTACTTCTCTCCATCTCCACTGCAATTCAAGTAACACAAACCCTTCAATAGTTTCCTGTTACACATAAAATAAAATCCAAACTTCCTACCACGTGACCTATAAGCCCCTTCATGATCTGGCAGCCCTTTGGGTGGCATGTGGCTGTACAGGTTGTGTATTGCCCAACTTTATGCAGTCCCCCACATTTCCTCATTCTGAGTCACTTTTTGTCAACTCTTTGTCATTCCCTCACATACTCTATGCTTATTCCCTCCCAGTTTCTTCAGGCCTGAATTCCAACTCTGTATCTGACTCTCAGTCCCTAACTTTGTTCCATTATATATATATATGTCCCACATTCTCAGTATTTTAGCAGAGATGTCTCTACTCATTCACTGAAACTGAAATCTAACTTCCCTCCAGGGACAGCACATCATCCTCATTCTTCTCTACTGTAGACCCACCATTTTTCTTCACCCAGTTGTACTATGGAGCCTGGAGGAAGTATTGCCATTTCCTTTGCTCTGGTGGGCCACTACCAGACTGTTATGGTGCCACTTTCTTTTGAAAATCCTCCTTCTTGCCAGTGCATACCTCCTTATTAACCACCTCTGCCTCTCTCTCTTCATTTCCCCTTATTCACAGATGATGTTGGGGTCTGGTACACAGTCTTCCGTTCCTTTACCACTTGGCATCATAACAAGTAACTTGCGCATTCTGCTCGTATGTTTTTTGATATCCTAGAATCTAACTATTCAACAATCTTCGTTCATCCACATCAGCAGTCTGCATTTAGGGCCACACTATGGATCTCATTATATTCTAGAACTGTTCCTCCCTTGAATTTTAGGGGCCAAGTTACTTTCTTTGAACCTAATTTCATATTCTGCCAACTTTTTTTTTTCAGATTCTATCTCACTTTTCCCTTTTCTGTCACTCACTACTGTTGACCACTCTATTCTTTTTGAAACTTGTTCCCTTCTTTTCTAGTTCCTAGCTCCTATTTCTTTATGGGCCTCTATTCAAACAGTACATTCGAGCTATACTAAACCATTTGTAGCTCCAGAGAACATGCTGTAAGGTTTCATATTTCTATACCTTTGTTCATGCTGCACTCTTTTTTTTTTTTTTTTTTTTTTTTTTTGCGGTACGCGGGCCTCTCACTGTTGTGGCCTCTCCCGTTGCGGAGCACAGGCTCCGGACGCGCAGGCTCAGCGGCCATGGCTCACAGGCCCAGCCGCTCCGTGGCATGTGGCATCTTCCCGGACCGGGGCATGAACCCGTGTCCGCTGCATCGGCAGGCGGACTCTTAACCACTGCGCCACCAGGGAAGCCCCATGCAGCACTCTTTGCTCTGCTGCCAGGAATGCTCCTCCCCATCCTGTACACCTGGTTTTCTTTGAAGGCAACTCAAAACTTATGTCCTATGTGAAACTTCTTCTGACCGCTTCCCTTAGTCAGAGTTTATTTTTCCCACTTTATAACTCTTGAACTTTTTTTTTTTTTTAAAACACTGCTCTGGGACTTCACTGGAGGTCCGGGGGTTAAGACTCTGTGCTCCCAATGTAGGGGGCTCTCGTCCAGGGGTTCGACCCCTGGTTGGGGAACTAAGATCCTGCATGCCACATGGTGTGGCAAGACAAACAAACAAAAAATTAAAAACATTGCTTCTGTAATGTTTTATTGCATTTGCTTGCTTTACATGTGTGGGTTCTTTTATTTCAGATTCTTCTGAAGGCAAGACTGTGGCTTACTTCTATCTATATCCTCAGTGTCCAACAGTGTCTGGAATATTGTACATGTCCATTAAAAGTTGGTTGAATATATTATTTATTATACTGATATGAACTGAGCATTTATTCAACAAACATTTATTGAATACCTGTTATTTTCTAGTGTTGGGGATACCAAGCTTCTAGCGCACCATCTAGCAGAACAGATATGTTAAGGAAAACAGGTATGTTAAAACTTACCCCAGATATGGCAAGTACTTAGCAGAGGTGTAAATTTTTCATGGATCAGGTAATATATCTTATTAACCACTGTATTTTGGAGCCTAACTCAGTGATTACACTTAATAAGTGCTTTAAAAATAGTGATTGAATGAACTGAACCTGTAAAACATTCTGGGCTCAATCTGTTGACTTCATTGTGCAGCTGTTTAATGTTCTAAGCTGGGATAGCTGGAGAGAAATAGAGAAATCATGAAGGTTTTTGGTGCCATTATAACGCATCTGGCTTTATTCTGTAGGCAACTGGGCCAGGAGAGGATTTTAAGCAGAAAAATGGTTGAACAAGCTTAGTTTACTAGGAAGCAAACTGAATGGAAGGGAGAAGAGATGGAAAACTGGGAAATGATGGCGGGGGGGAGGGTCACTGCTATTGTTCAGTTGACCGAAGACGGTGGATTAAGGCAATGAGAGGAAGGATGGATGAGGAGAAAGGGCTGGATTCTAGATTTTTGAACTGGATTAAGATTTCGTGCCAATGAGATGAGGGAAGGAAGATGGGGAAAGTGAAAGAGAAACTGTTATGTCTGTTAGAGGTTTGTGTCCAATAATGTATGTGATAGTAATGTATAAACTAAGAAACATCACACAGCAGTTGGTTGTTTTTATCTTCTCTGGCTGCTCTTAGTTTTGCTGGGCAACACATCACTTTTAAAGAAATGCGTTCAGATCCAAGGAAAATATCATATTTAGAATTAGGATTTATCATTCCTGAGATTTCTCAAGGAGCAGCTTAGATAATCCGAGCAGAGAGGGAGACGAAAAGAAAACCCCTCAGCTTTATTCTTAGGCAGCTCTTTCCACTTCCCCGAACTTTCGAGGCACCCGGGAGCCTCAGAGCCCCGCCCGTTTATTCCCAGCCGTCACCATTCTTCCGCGACGTCTCCCCGCTAGCCAATCACGCTCCGTAACGTCATTACCATGCGCCTACACTGGATGAGTCGGAGGCCATCCCACGTGTACTGTATTGACTGTCAATGTCTCCGGGAGCCCAATTCCCGGAAGCTGTGGGTTCTGAGAGAAATTCCTGCACTCGGTGCCCTGAACCTGCGAATCCCCACCATGAGCACCCCAGGCGTGCTGACCTTCACCCAGCAAGCCTGGGAGCAGGTCCTGGCCAAAGTGAAACGGGCCGTGGTCTACCTGGACGCCGCCTGCGCCGAGAGCCTGCACTGGGGCTGCGGGTCCTCACGGCTGCTGGAGGCGGTGGGGAGCTCTGCGTGTTACGTGCGGGAGTTCGAGCCCGCCGCAGTTGGTGGCGGAACCGAGCAGCCCAAAGCGGTGTTTGTGTTGAGTTGCCTGCTGAAAGGCCGGACCGTGGAGACCCTACGGGACATCATCTGCCGCAGTCACTTCCAGTATTGTGTGGTGGTCACGGCTGTGAATCACGCAGTCCACCTCACGGCTAATCACGTGCCGCCGGCGGCGGCGGCTGAGCTGGAAGGGCAGCAGCCAGTGTTCGAGCAACTGGAGGAGAAGCTGTGTGAGTGGATGGGCAACATGAACTACACGGCTGAGGTGCTGCACGTCCCGTTGTTACTCGCATGTGCTGCTCCCCACCTTGCCTTGACTCCAGCTTTTGCTTCCCTTTTCCCACTATTACCCCAGGATGTGCATATCCTCAACTGTGCCCGACCGGACAAGAGGAGGCTGGGAAACCTGGGTGAGGTGGATGCCACTACCCTAACCCCTGAGCTGCTGCTGACGATTAGGTGCCTGGTGTCCGGCCTCAGTTCCCTGTGTGAGCATTTAGGGGTACGGGAGGAGTGTTTTGCTGTAGGTTCCCTCAGTCGGATCATCGCTGCAGATCTGGCCAATTTTGCTCCCGCCAAGAACAGGAGGAAGACCGCCACAGGCAGGGCATCAGTGGTCTTTGTGGACAGAACTCTGGATCTCACAGGTAAGTGGCGTTTGCTGTGGAAGGCTTCATAACCGCTTTCCAAAGTGCTGGGACTTTCATTGATTCAACATATATTTTATTGACCTCTAACTATGTGTCAGCTTGAGGAGTCAAAGAAGAGTTAGATGGATACAGTCCCTGATCCCACAGTTTATCGTCTAGAGGGGGGATACAGACAAGCAAATCAATTAAAATCAATTTGTTAAATGCTGTCTTGGGTAAATACATCCTCAGCGTGCACTGCCCTTTTAAACAAGAACAACTGCGTCTAGCCCAGAGGTTGGAAAACCAGACTTAATGCTGACATGGAGGAGAGCTGTCCACCTGGGAACCTTTTAGACTTGTGCAGATATCAGTATTCACAACAGTCCTTCATAAGAAAGCTTGAAGCTGTTGGAGAAGTATTAACAGGTGAACAAGTGGAGGTAACCTGTACCACAAAACACGAAAATATTACAGTTAGTTGACTTTCAAGTTTCTTTACATGAGTGTTAATAAATGAGGCTGAACTTAAATTTCACCAGAAAATGAGGCTAAACAGAATTGTAGAAAATATCTACAATTGTATTTAGTCTCATATTCTGGTGAAAATATTTTCAAACGTTCATTTACTCTTAGCTCTCCTTCTATTGAAGATTGGGTAATCCCAAATTGTAATAATATTTATACACATAAGTAACCAATGTTACCCTTAAAATAGATGAAGAAAAAACATTTTCTGTTATTTGACATGTGCATTTATTTTCAAAGGTCAACTTTATTATTCTCTAACTAGGTAGATGTAATGATGCTGGTAGTGTAGGCTGGCCACACCCAAGTTCAGGGAGAATAATCAGGAAACTGACTTTGGTAAGCATTCCCTTCAGTAGGTTAAAAAAAAATGTCAAATGAAGTTAAAAAAAAAACCACAACAGGTGCATTTGAATTTTTGACCTTATAAGATTCATTTTCAGATCATAAAATAGAAAGTAAGCTAAGTGGTAATACTGAGATGTAAGCTTAATGATGTGACTGAAGTAACCAGGTGCTCAGCCTGTCAGTGTGATTTAAATAAAAGTAATCATTGTAACACCCCTGAACTCTTAGAGGATTAAAAACACCTGATGAGTGAGTATATGCTTGTTGAGTTTTTGAGTGCGTGGTATATACTGCTTATGCTTCTATTTCTTTTTGCCCAAAATGTGACATATTGTTTCATAATTAATCAAGGTCACATATTTTTGTGTCCCCCCCACCAAAAACTCCAGTTAGGCAAACTTTAATGTCCTGGCCATCCAGCATCATAGCAACTACTCCTTTACATATTATGCATCTCTTCTTTGTATATGACTCTTCTAAATACAGAAAAAAACAAGGTAAATGTAGCCTCTTGTCCTCTAAAAGCTTACAATACGAAGTAGTCAAGAATGATTTAGAAAATAAGGGCGCTAGGAAGACAAAGTTGCCATTCAGCACAATTATTTTATACTTTCTCTCGCTTCAAGCCTCCAGATTTCCCTCCCCATGTTCACCCCCTCAGCTTTCTTGCTTTTATATAAGCCACCAGAAAACGTCTGTATCTTCTTATCACTAAGTCTACCAGCCTTTTTACCTCTGTACCCCACATATTTTTCTTTCCTTCCTTCATATTAAAAGATGTACTGTCCCTGCTACTATCTAGTGCCAACTTTTCCTCCTTTGCAGGCTAGATCTTTTCCTTTTTCACTTCTCTCATAGGTTTACTTCTTTCAAATACCCTCCCCTTTCCTAGATCATCATTTTTTTAAAAAAGTCTTTTCTACTAGGTTTTCCCCATCAACATACACAGAATGGAACATCTCCTTTCTTGACCCCTCAGGCTCAGTTTCATTTTTGTTCCATTTTTAGCAAACTTAGAAATTTGTCTGTACTTGCTGTCTCTACAATCATCTGCTTCAATTTTCCCTTGTCTTCAATTAGGCTGTTTGCCCCTCAGTACTCCTCAGAAACTTCCTTTGTCAAGATCACTGGTGGCCTCCATGTCACCAAATCCAATATTCAATTATCAGAATCCATTTTACTCATTCTGAAAGCCGGATTTGTCACAACAGAGTAGAGGATGTAAATAGTTAAAAAAATACAAATATTAAAGAAGTACAGAGGACATACAGATCATGCACTTTCTTGTGTAATCCCATCAAAACATAAAACTGGCGACATGTTATTTGCTTGCTCACAACCCTCCCATCACACCCACTATCAAATCTAAGTTCCTTAGCACGGTTTTCAAGGCCATACATCATCTGCCTGTGTGTACCTATCCCACCTCATCCCTTATTGATCTTCCCCCACACACTGCTCTCCTGGCATGCTGTCCACCTTGCCATTTCTCAACATGCGAAGTATGTCCCAGCCCCAGGACCTTTGATGTTCTTGTGCAGCTCAGCTTGGAATGCTCTTCCTTCAGGTGTCTACATGGTTTTGTCGCTCATTTCCTTCGAGTCTCCACTCACATGTCTCCTTCTCAGACAAGCCTTCCCTGACCACTTTCTTTAGACACTCTCTAACCCCTTACCCTGCTTTATTTGTCATAGTCTTTATCACTACCTAACATGCTAATTGATTGTCGGTTGCCTGTCTCCTCCCATTTGAACGGAAGCTCGTGAAGGGAGGGACTCTATTTTGTTTACTGTTTATTAACGAGCACTCAGAAGAGTGCCTTGAAAATAGTAGGTATTCAGTAAATATTTATTGAATGAATGGATGAATGAACAGGTGAATTAAAGGTTGCTGCCAACTAGACTTTCATTGAGGTTAGTATACTTATTTTTTCTGATTGAATATACTTCTGAGATTCCTAAGTTGCATCACTAGTCATTCACAAATGCAGCGGGGCACACATTTTCTGAATATTCTAAAATTTGACAATTTGGGCCCACAGTAGTATTTGAGAAAGGAAATAATAATATTAACTAATCATATTTATGTGATTATTTAATGGATAAAAATCACTTCCACATTACCTTATTTGATCTCAACAAATTAGGTGAGTTAAGTATTATTTATCATTTCAAGAATAAAAAATTGAGGCTCTGAAGTTGTTCTTTACTGGAGAAAAGAAAAGCAGAAACATTAAGTAGTAGGCCAGATGTGACAAGATTGCTCCAATATTTCTTTTAGTGTCGGAGGTCAGCATCTTTTGTTTTCTGAATTGTCAGAGTTAAGTGCTCACTTTCTTTTTATTTGTTTAGGATCCTTCCTCCAGTAGGTGGGCTTCCAGGGTGTGCTTTAAATTGGTGAAGGTACTCATTAAGCAAACTGGTGTGGGAGAAGACATTTTAGGTACATGAGACCATGTAAAAGAATATTTAATGTTAAAAGGGCATTGTTCAAAGGGAGCAAATGGGAGGTCACTCTGGGTAGATTCAAGGCAACAGGTAAAGAGAAAGAAAAATTCATTTACTTTGTCCAGGGCTTAGGAGGAACCATGAAATTATTGTTTTCAATAGAATGCCAAGAGAACTACGCAAGCTGATGATAAAGCAATGGGAGTGAACCTCCCAAAAGTTCCTTGAGGTATTTCCCAAGTGCATTTAAAATTATAAGGACTCTGCTTCCTTCCTACTTTCCTGAATAATTCAGTGGAAAAGCATCTAGGTGGGGCTAAGCAAGATAGGTGTCCATGCAGGAAGGAGAGCACTACCAGGCCTGGGTGAGGGAGCTCAAGTTGGGTGAGATCTCCTGAGTGGGGAGAGGTGCCTGCATGAGGTGGTGGGTGGCAGCAGCAGTGGCCTGGTGGAATAGGAGATAAAGGGAAGCCAGAGTGGGTGGCATAAAGGGGTGTCCCTGGGGCCCAACATATTTACCTCTCTACTGGTGCATGGAACAAGTTTGATTTGTGGTCCCCTCTGAAACCAGTCAGCTTTGGCATAGTGTAGCCGAGAGAAGGTCCATGATCTACTTCCCATTTTTAAATTATGACATTCCCTCCTTCAGAAGGGATCTAAATTATATCTGGCTGGTGGAGGGTAGATTTTGGAGGATAGATACTAATTGGAGCAACTTTGTTACTATGTCCTAATAACTTACAAATTGAAGTTTTTTTAATGGATACCTTTTGGATAACCCTCCACACTATCTTCCAGATGGTCAGTTTAATGGTTCATTTATTTCAAAAATGTTTCAACATAGTGTTATTATTCCATATTGGTAATCCTCAGGGCTGGTTTTCAGTTGGTGCGTAGCTGTACTGTCAAACCTGTTTTTTAAATACTAAAGTACTTCTGTACTAGCCAGTAAAGGGAAATTCTCTACTTGTTGAGAATTACCTGTTACTGTTGCCTGGTGGAGGTGAGTGATAGGGCTTAGGAGCATTGTGGTGTGGATGCAGCTGACCCCCAGGGGTGCTGAGGCAGCAGGGGGAACTCATGCTGGTAGTGATGGTTGTAGAGATGCAGCCCTTCTCCTCTGCTCCAGAGTGGCCCAAAATTGGATGGGGTGGTAGGGTAGGTGGTGTTGGTGGCATTATTTTTGGGGCGGGTGCTTTCCAACCTTGATCCAGGCTCTGGCGTCCAGGAGCATACCCGATCACCATGCTCAATTTTTTTACTGATCTTTCCTGGATGCAACAAGCATAAGGAGCTGGGGAGCTCATGACTTGTTGTTACAAGAATTTGGCGTGGGGCTTCCCTGGTCGCGCCGTGGTTGAGAGTCCGCCTGCTGATGCAGGGGACGCGGGTTCGTGCCGCGGTCCGGGAGGATCCCACGCGCTGCGGAGCGGCTGGGCCCGTGGACTGTGGCCCCTGGGCCTGCGCGTCCGGAGCCCGTGCTCCGCAACGGGAGAGGCCGCGGCAGTGAGAGGCCGGCGTACTGCCAAAAAAAAAAAAAAAAAAAAAAAAGAATTTGGCGTCGTTTCTTTTCTTTTTTTTAAAAAAAACTTTTAGTGGAATAGAGTTGATTAAAAATGCTATGCTAGTTTCCGCTGTACAGCAAAGTGAATCAGCTATACATATACCGGTGTGGTTTCTTGCATCATATTGTGG